TCATAACCAAATCGTCCAAACTAATACAACAACCAAATTAACCAAACTAAAATTTAATCGATTTGGTTAATTGGTTAACCAGATTAACCAATATAATATCATAATTTATCAATTCATAATTTATATAATGAATAAAACATAACAATCAACACATAGTTATAGTTGACCCTTAACATAAATACAATCAACTAAGACAATTATCTTACGGTTAGTATAGAAGTATTCACCTAACAAAATTTATCACAATGGTATGAGTTAATGAATTGTTGTATTTGTTTGAATTGACTTAGTCTTTTAATAAATTTCATAGGCTGAAAAGGACCTTGCTTTCAAGTTTTCATCCAACATAATTATATGAGATCTATCTAAATTAGGCATTCATATGTTGTGGTCTACACTCTACATATACAAATATACATTACAGGAACAATATGAAGCTTTATATTTTATAAGTCTAAAAGAATGAACGTTTAACTCTTGAGTGGTTATTCAAAGTATTAAGTATGTGTATATATTAGATATATGGCTAATTATTTATGTGGTTAATTTGGTTTGGGTGGTTAGGAGTGTCTGAAACCAAACCAAACAACCTAAAAACTTTAACCAAACCAAATTATCCAAATAGTACTGGTTAAAACGGTTACCATGGTAACCACACCGTTTGAATACCCCTATCCACAATAGTCAAAAAATATTGAAAACCATCCATAGTAATCACATTTACTGGCCCCCAAATATCAGTATGTATCATGTCAAAGGGAGATTTAGAATGAGAAGAGATTTTAGAAAATGGTAAACGTTTCTGCTCAGAGAAATGAAAAATCTCACAATCTAAAGAGTCGGGAACTTCTATCTCATTACAAACTTTCTTAATGTTCTTTAATCTATCTAAAGACAGATGGCCTAATCTCTAATGCCATAAACTAGGGCTTTGACTATTGCTCACTCCAAGGATTTTTGGTTTGCAAATCTCTCTTGGGCCACTGGATTCTCCAAGAAGATAGAGTCCTCTACTTACCGGGATTAAACCAATCCTCTGTTGAGATATAAGGTCATGGACATAGCAGAAATGGATTGAAACAGGAGTGAGACTGGACTTTTTTGGTTAACTGGCTTACTGAGATTAGATTGTAGGAAAAAGAGGGAATCAATAAGACTTTGGTGAGTAAGATACCACAAGGCAATTTCACTATCTCTACATGTGTGACTATAGCCTATTGACCATTTGGCAAAGTCACTGACATGTTACTGACAACTCTACATCTTAGAAATAAGCTAAGTGAACATACAATATGATCACTAGCTTCTGTATCCAGAACCAATACACACTTATCAGTTCTGGTTTGAGAGATTGAGAAGATTGAGTTACCTGTCATTGGCAAAGAACCAGCCATAACAGATTTTGCATGTGAGCCACCATGTGCTGGTGTGGAAGACTGTAGTAATGCCTTGAGTCTGTGGAGCTCATCTGCTGTGAAACCTGAGAAGGTTAGGGAGTGTCGTTCATGCTGGCTCACAGGACTAGTGGGAGAATATGAACTTGCTCCTCCTAAAGTGTTTCCCTCTCCACTAACCACATCAACTAAGCCTGCAAACCCTCTTCCTCTGCCTGGGTTGCTACCTGGATTGTTACCCAGAAGCCCATTCTTCTTCTTTAACTTCCAGCAGTCTTCCTTGACATGGTTATCCTTCTTGCAGTATCTCCAAAAAAGTTCTCCAGGTTGGTGATAAGATGATCCTTTATCCCTAGATTGGTTGTACTGAGTCTTGGACCCTGCAAGTGCAGTTGCTAATGCAATGGTTTCCTCTGACTTGCCAACATTAGAACTAGAACCATTCAATTGCCTTTCCAGTTGTGTAACTGATCTATAAATGCTATCAAGATCAGGAAGGGGTTCAATCATAAGCATATGGGTTTTCACCTATTGGTAATTCTCCTTCAGCCCTAGCAGAAAACGAATAACCTTCCCTCTTTCTTGATAACACATTACAGTTTCATAGGTGCGAGAAGCGCAATCACAGTATGGTATAGGTTGATAGGTCTGATGTTCATCCCATACCAGCTTCAAATCAGTGTAATATTGGCGAATATTCTTGTTTCCCTGCTTAGTTAAGTCCATTTTCTCTTGCAGGTTCGCTACTATAACCAAATCACCCTGACTAAACCTAGTCTTTAGGTAAGTCCATGCCTCAGATGCAACCTTAATGTTTCGCATACTAGGAACAATATCCTCAGAAACAGAATTCCTAATCCAGCACACAACTGTACCATTAACACGATCCCAAGTTCCATAAAATGGATCTATAAGTGTTGGTACCTGAATGGTTCCGAGGACGAAGTCGAGTTTGTTTTTGGTGCACAAGGCGACTTCCATACACTCACTCCATAGCAGGTAGTTGTCGTAATTGAGCTTGAAACTGATGACTGGTAGGAAGGATTTGTCGCTCTGAGAAAGGTAGAATGAGTTGGAGTAGGGATCTTTGACTCACTCCTACTGTCACTCTAGAAAATGGCCAAGTGTAACCACTTCCTAAAGCGTAGTATAGCGGGTTTGGGTTTTAATGTCAACCCGGGTCCTAGATGTGATGACTACTCAGTGAATTCTTATTATCTAGCGGTGAAACTTTAGTGCAGGTTCAAACAAGCAAAACAAGAAAAGCAATTAAACAGTTGTTTCAAGTCGAGAGAGGTCACCCAGATATGGTTCCCCCTAGACTGCAGTTAAGCCGGATTGCAATTTACCAAGTTCAGTTCCTATGATAGTTATACTGCGGGAGGTTCTTAAACAGTCTGAAGTCTCGACTAAAGGTCTCCAGACCCTCTCAATCTGAGTCCCCAGCGGGCGACTAACCTCCACCGGAGTAAACAGATTGAGGCCCTAACGAACCAAACCTCCACTACCGAAGTAAATTCGGTACAAAATAGTGAATTGGCTCCTCGACTAAAGTCGCCAATTCACTACCTTCAATTAAGGGTGCTCTATTAACCTAGACAGATATTCTCTTTCTAGGCTAAAGCAGAAATAACAGAAATTTGATCAGGATTCAAGTCATTCAATCATTCAAGCCTCAATTGAATATAATCAAATCATGAAATCTGTACTTGGGTTCATACAATCAGACCTAACATACAAATCTAGGGTTCTCCATACCCAGATGAATAAGAAAACTACTCCATGGAGAGAGAAGCAAAAGCAGATTCAGATGCGGAAACCATACTGTGAAGGATGGGTTTCTGCTCCTGGTCGTCAATCGGAACTTCTCCAAGCTCAAACCGGGCTCCAATGGTGATGAACATCAAGCTAGGGCACTTGGGAACTCTGGTTCGTCGTTTTTTCTCTCTAGGAATCGCTCTGTCTCTCTAAAACTCAGAATTCCTTCTCCTTTGGCTCAAATCTGCCTAAAAGGCTGACCCTGGGCAAAACACGACCGTGCTTTGGTTTTGCCCGCCCGTGCTTTGCCCCGTGTTAAAAACACGCCCGCGTCGGCCAAAACACGGTCGTGCCTAAATATGGACACGGCCGTGTTTTGGTTTAGGCGCGCTCGTGTTTTGCTTTTCCATCAGTTCAGCTCTCGGCAATAAAAATACTGGCGTGCCTGTTTGTGTACTCGGCCGTGTTTTGGTTTAGGCACGCCCGTGTTTTTACTGCCGAACCTATTCCCCTATATTCAATGCTTCGTTTCTCCCTCGTCCGGACTCTGAATCAGTCGCCGTTTGATCCCAGACGCTTGTAGTCTCGTCCTCTTTATTTTCATGACAAGCTTGCATGATTATTTGTCCATAAAGTGAGGTAGAAATCCATTCTTCTTCAGGTCATGCCCGAGTTTCTTCTCCCTAATCGCCAATTGATCTCTGATTGACTTGAAACTTGCGCCTATGCTTCACTTTATGTGCTAGGACCTGAAATGTGACAAAGGAACACAACCTAGCGTAAAATAGGCCAAAGACGCGATAATTAAAGCTCAAACGATCAAGAAACAAAGGGGAAAACATGTGCACATATCGAGTCATCAATCTTCGTAGCAAGGTGATGAGATCTCCTTCTCCTTGGATTCCTTGTCTGAGCTAGTTGAGTCATCTCCTTCTGCCATTGTTGGAGTTCAAGAATAAAAGAAGGGTTTGATAAAAGTAGGAATGCAACAAGAGAAGAATGTAGAAACAAGCTCAACACGCAATCAAAAGCCAACCAGGCTCTGATACCATGTGAAAGTTTGTGACCTAGCTCCCATGGAGGCTAGGGTTTGAATAAAAGAGAGTACTAGGGTTTGATTTTGGGGGAATGTTGCATACTACACTACACTCCATTCCATTTTCTCCTGAATATATATACAGAGTTTAATTACAGTGTTCATAATCTACTGTAGTTAACGGCTAATTACAACTAACACTCAAATTCCTCCAATATGCTATTGACAAGTGTCCGAGACACGCATAAAACGTCTGAAGTTGTTCTTGTCTTCAAATGGCGTCGCTTCACTTATTTATCTGCGTATCAGCTGAACTGGGTAAAAGGAAGCCCGGTCCAATCGTGATCCGACCCGCTCCGCTTCCGTCTTCTTCTTCTTCCTCAGCAGAGTGTTCCATTATGCATTTCAGCTTCGCTACAACTCACCATTAGAACACTCTGCTTCACAGTGCGAAAAGGAGAGAAAATGGATCGATATGAGAAGATTTGAGCTACTTTTTGAGAGGAAAATGATGAAGATGATGGAACAAGCAAGAATAAGATGGGTTCAGTGGCTGTGAATCTCAAGAAGGAAGAGGAGACTTATGAGAACAAACATGATTTATGGGTTGTGAACCTGATTTGTCTCTCAACGCTCACATCCGAAATACTTTTCTAAAAAAAAAAAAGCTCACATCCGAAATGAGAAATCCAACAAGAGATAATGAGTAGGGGATTGTGCATTGCTCTCCTTGATGTGGAAACTAAAGGGTGTCCAACGGTTAAATGGATGTCCCAACTTCAATTTGGAGGTACTAATACTTTATGCATTCAGTAAGATAGTAATCTTTATACCGTGAATTCACTGGAATATTAGGTATGTATTACATTTTGCTCTAATGGCTAAATCGTAGATCCTACAATTAATATGAACTGGAAGGGGTCCGGATCCCATCAGTAACCATAAGGTGAGTAACCCCATGCATAACTCAATAAGAATCCGCCACATCAGCGCCTCCTTCCCTCTACTCGAAAAACCTTTAATTTTTCTTCTCTTAATCTTTAATGGACGATTTCTCACTCGTTTTAACTCGGAATTTTTTTTTTGCATAGTTATATCAGATTAATTGTGCTCTTCAAAAAGATATCTACTTTGATATTTTTTGGAACAAAAAAAATTTGTCAGTTATTACCAGTCTATACTATATGGTATTGACTGGTATTAAATAACATTATACCATATGGTATGAAAAATACCACCCCATACCAGGGTGGCATAGTATGTTATGGAGTTGGTAACGAGATGTATGAAATTTTTTCACCCAGAAAATTTTGAAATCCAATAGATCATGATTAAATCGTTCCTTCTGTGCAAAAATTTCCGAAAACGACTAAACAACGAAGGAGATACCATATGATATGGAGTTGGTAACGAGAGGTATGAATTTTTTTTTCTAAAAAAATATTGAAAATGGATATCATTTTGTAGATCACAACGAACTCGTTCCATTTGTGCAAAAAAATTGAAATCCGAGTTAGAATGAAGAAAATATGATCCAATCAAGAAAACTAGTAAAATTAAATTTCTTTAGTTCTTCACCCTTAAATCTGCAGCCATTTAAAAGAAAGATCCGGATTTGGTTATTTATAGTTACTCACTCTAAGGTTACTCACACTATCTGGATTCTTGGAAGGTATTTACATAAGTAGATATCCAAGTTTTAATCTAGTTTGCATTAGTTTGTTGATTTCTTCGCTTTTGGATGCCTCTTTTGTAATTTGGAGACTGAACTTTGCCGTTTGTAGGATTGCCCTAGCATTCTCGTCTTGTAGGTATAATATATCAGAGTTACGCTTTTCCTAAATTAATCTAATCTCTTATTTGTTTTTCTAAGAAGATAATTATTGTTGGTGGCACATGTAATAATGACGTGGCAGCTACGTTTTCTTTGGGACCTGGCTAGACGTGCTGCCAATTGGCACCTCTTGATGGCAAGGGATCCTTACTATCCTAGCCTTCTACTACTTATGCGGTAGTTAACACACAAATAATCTGGAGCTGGATTTTGTTTTGTATGTTTCCTTCCTCTGTTCTGTATGACCCTTTCGCAAGTTCTTCATTTCACACGCTATTCTCTTCCCCTATACACTTGTCATTCTTAGTAGCAACACACGGACTATAATATGCAGAGAGTTTATGGCGACAACATAACAATGGCTTTAATCCAATCCGTAATGCCATCTCAGTCGAACATCACAAAGCACGTTGCCGACTCATTATTAAGCAGAGAGGTGTGCTCAAGTTCTGAAGTTATCAAGAGAAAGTACCCAGCTAGCTACATTACATTACACAAACACCAGGCAGGACAACAGGCCTCGCATAATTCCTGGATAGTAAGTAGCATATCATCCGCCCTCTCAAATAACTTGTAAGCGTTCACATCCACATTAGTCGGTTTTTCAAAGCGTACATAGTCAAGCCCTGCAACATACTTCTCAGTCTTCCGGCGGAACCCAAATATATACAAAGCATGTGGCACTCAGATAAGTGTTTAGTCTTGAGGAAGGTAACACAGCATTAGGGGAAATGAAAAAGAAAAAACACCGAGGAAGGTTGTCACCGGAGCTGAAGCAACGTTAGAAACAGTTCAACTAGGCGGCTTCTGCAAACCCGATTCTGAGGTTGCCGTAGTCAAACACGGTGTGGTAACGGCCCATGAAGACATCACCCAAGATCCTGCAACGGCGGAGACAAGCAAGTTATACCGAGAATGACCGGAACAACTTTGGGAAGGGTTAACCCAGTAGAGTGGAACTCTCCCAAGGCAATGATGTGAGGGAGGTAGAAGTTTACCAGAGAGGACCACGTGGTGGCGGGACATCGATTGCTGTAAACCCACTAATGCATTGAGCAGCAGCACCCTCGCCAATTTTGAGGACATACTGAGGATGGTCGATGCAAACATAGAGAAAAACAGATTTCAGCAATCACAAAGGTCAAACAGAAACCATTCAGAAACTGGGTGGGTGTAGATAGATGCCAATCAACTGCTGATTCTCCCATTAGGCATGGTAGAATCATTAGGCATGGAAGCAAGCTGGCACAATCAACTGCAGAGTCAAAACACCACAAGATGTCGACAAGCCAAAACAATTACCTGTTCCGGAGTAAGGTCAAAGACCTTGCCAGCAATAGTAAATGAAACATTAGGCATGGTAGACATGCCACCACAATCAACCGCTGATTCTCCCATTGGGCTGGGGATTCGATCACAGAGCTGCAGAAAAACCAGATCGCAAGATGCGTAAGCTCAATGCTGACACCGCTAGGGTACACAAAGCGTGTTTGTCATCCTGACCAGGAAGGAAATCCAAGTGGACTTTAATTATCTTACATCATTTGCGTATTCAATGATTTGTTCCTGTGTTTCATTCTGCTTAAGCTTGTTCTGCATCCAGACAACTGCCATCTCACAAGCACTGCATGTTGCGTCACTGGTAGCACGAACTGCTTTCTCAATGTTTTCGTTCACCACACTCTGAATACCCATGCTGCAAAACACAAAATAAATGAAGACTGAAGTTAGCTGCTCAAGTTCGAAACAAACAAATCCTCAAGCAGCATGATAAAATAAGCAGGCATCGAAACTAACCTAACACCTCGTGATCCATCAAACTCGCACAAACCAATCTGGGAGCAGATCTTTAGAGGTTCATCCTGCCATACAACATATCATTAATTAATTAATTAATTAATGTACGGACCTTCTAGGTACTATTTAAATTAGTTGACCAACAGATCACAGGCGAACAAGTACCCTTGCTAAGAGCATCCGAATAATAGTTTCTCCGTATTGAGAAACTACAAGCTTGCATTCTTGGCTTACGACCCCAGTAGCACCAATGGCATGATTAACTTCTGCAATAATTGCCTGCAGTTGAAATGCATATGGTTATAAAGCACTAGCACAACCCATCACCACATTCTAGTGCCAGTGTGCCACAACAACAAGCAGAAAATGTTGGCAAAAGCTTTCTGGCTGATTCTTCGGCATGTCCTGAGGAGTAATAGCAAAACAGGAGGGAAAAAGCATTAATTTGTAAATTCTATGAGTTCACTACACACCGTTGGTCCAGCTAACAAAGAAGTTCCAGAGTCAGCAATGGCTGCACAACCACCGGAACAAAATCCTGGAGAAAAAAATAAAATCAAGCCAATGAAGAAAATGAGACAGCTGCTCAGTACCAAGCCACTAAAGAATGTAAGCAGCTCACCAGTAGACTTTCCACCAACCAAAACATCACCCATGTCAAACTGTCAACAAAGAAGTGGACAAACATTAAGCATTTTGACGTAAACTAGCAGAATATGAGATATGAAGTTGAGGAGATGCCTAAATCACGAACCTGCCAATACCCTTTCTGTGTCACGGGGACATATGTGTGCTCACCCACAAAGTGATTAGGATCCACACCACCAAAAACAAGTTCACCCCCTTGTTCCGCATCAGCATTGCGGTTAAGCCAGAATGAGAAAACGGGCTCATTGATGAGTCCTTGCTCAATCATATCATACCTGAAGCATATACAAGAAAGTTGAGATTTGTTAATGATAGCCAGAGTCAGGGCCAATCAACTCATCCTTAGCAATTTTATCCAACGGAAAGCTATTTAGTAAAATAGCAGCTATACCAGACAGGGACGGCATTTCCGACAGAGATCTCCTGAAACCCAAGCCCAAGTATACCATCAAATTTAGCTGCCAAGAATGTGATGCCCGGCTCCTTTGTTGCTTCGATAAATTGCTGGAACAAACGAATGGTATCAGCACATGAAGACATCTAAAAGCATTACAACCAACCATTCAATTAACGACGCAAAAACACAACACATTAACACATTACTTACCACATCCTTGACAACAATATTGCCAACTTTTACACTATCCTCACTGAAGAAGCCAGAAATAGCACCAGTTCCATACTGGATAGCAGCAGATTTTCCTGCACGAGTAGATATATTGAGCAGCGTTCTACATCCACTAAACCAGTGCCAAGTAAATTACTAAGCTAGTAGTAAATAGGAATCAGCAATGACATGTTTATTCATGCTGATATGGCATAGTCCAGTGCAACACAATTCTAAAAGAAAAGGAAACCTCAAAAATAATGAGTGGGGAGAACCAGGTCAAACAATGCATCCGCCGAGTCTAACACAGTCAGAATGGAAGCGACCTCATAAAATTTATGTGTTCCTTAGACATAGATAGAGCATACCAGATCCACATAGATCATTATGATTTTGGTATCATGAATGAAAGAATACAAGAATCCCCAACTCCAACTCCAACATCAAGATATACGACTTAAAACTAAGAATCAGAAACCAACAACAATGATAACAACGTGATGAAGCATTAATTTGACACAAAATCATCAGAACCAAGCAGCGCGAAGAAACTTTTGACAAAAGTAAGAAGATGAGTGGACAAACCATTCTGCTTGTATGTACTTGATTTACTTGACTTGTACTTGGGGTGGAAATAGCAAGCAAGCTGGAAAACAATAAGGAAAATAAAATCAAACCACCGGCCATGAGAGGAGAGAGCATATGCCAGCAACACATCAAGATGCCGACTCACTCACCGAGAAATAGCACTTGGAAGAAGGCACCCACAGGTTAGAACTACCAGTGTCGAATATCACCGTGAAAGTCTGCGCGGGAGTGCCAATGCCAATCTCACCAAAGTACTGAGCATCCATGTAGTTTTTCAGAGTCACGATGTCGGTCTCCTCCGCATCCCCCAAATTCCCACGGAAACGGTACTTTCTGACAGAAGAATTCAACAACTCTCCTTCCTTAGACCCCAGCTGGGCAGCAACACGATTGTTCTGATCAAACTTTCTCTTCTTGATTCCAATCCTGACCAGCCCATCATTGGGCGCAGCAAAAACTAAAGGCAGGAGGAGGCAAAGCAAAAGAGCAGCCGTGACAGGCCTGAACGACGTTCCCATCCTTGCTACTGCAAAGGAAACAAGATTTCATCCCAATCAACAATACTTTATCTGAAACCCGTAGGCCGTAAAATCAAACTTCTTTGACATGTAAAAGCATATAGATCATACTAATCCCCACGGCCCAAACACACTAACGGACAAACAAACTATCAGAAGAGACGGACAAAAAAGAACCCCGTCACTTAGCTCTCCTGTTGTCAGAAGAATTAGTGAAGCAACACCTGAACCGACATACACAGTAGCCAAAACATTCACAAACCCAGATAATAAGAACTCGAAACAAACTCGGGGTCATTCCTAATTCCGAGAACCCAATAAAAAAGTATCAAAATTTACGCAGAGCAAATCCTCGAGAGATAAACGGAAGAATCTGCTACACCGGCGATCAAAACGCAAAACAAGCAAACCGATCAAATTTCCCCCAAATTCCAAGCAAACAGGTACGAAGACAGCGCAGTCCATCAGTCAGTCAGCGAAAAATTGGAAGTCAAACCTCTCATCAACACACGGGCATCACTCTACTCACAGCCGGAACAGCATCGACCAACCAATGGCTACGAAGAATCAGTGGGTAAAAAGCGATCGAGCAACAATAGGAAGGGGAAGAGACTTACTTGGGTTTGCGTACGACGATCAAGAGGGGAAGGAGTAAGAGCAGAGCTACGAGACAAGTATGGTGGAATGGGCTCTAGTGTCGAGCGGGGGTTGGGGGTAGATATATTTGGTGCACGAATCGGTCCGCCCGGTTCGATTATTTAATTCTCTTTTATTTCTATCGAAAAGAGGGGACTTGTTTTGATCTCAACCGTACACGTGTCGGGTTGTTGGGGGAGTTGTGCGTTTCTTGTAGACTAAGAAAACGGGAGGAAGGGTGTGATTGGGTGCGGTAGAAACCATGGGAGTCAATGAATTGAATGGTAACTTAACACTACTCTCAGTAAAGCATAGAATGGAAATGGGAATGGATCGACCAATGTGATGTGAGGAGGGAAGCGTCTGTTTCAGAAGTCAATCAAAGGAAAGGATCATTGTTGGAGGTTGAGGCTATACAACAAAACGCGATAATATATGAGGAAAAATAAAGCTTGTTTTTTGCAAGTGGTGAATTGGTTTGTCTACATTCTATGATTAGATACTTGTGCTTTGATTGATTTTTGTTTCCCCAAGCTAGAGAATACCTAAAAAAAGTTTAACATGTTGCTTCCTCAACATTAAAAAAGTGTTTTTCATGGTATATTTGCCATTTTTGGTGAATGTCCAAACTAGATCATCAATTCATTATCTTTAGGAGTTAGGGGAAGTAATGAGATCGATGGATTTTTAGAATTTGTTGATGATTTTGAGTGCAGAGTCATTTGTCTGATTTTCAAATAATAATAATAATAAAATGGATAAAGGTGATGTCATTTTATTAATACTAAAAACAAAAAGGAGAGATACAATGATTCTGCAAACAAAACTAGAACTGAAAAGGAAAAGAAAATCTCCAAATAATCAAATTTTTATCAACAAATGCATCAATCGCTCTTTACAAACTTTGCCACAAGTGATGGAGGTCTTGTAACCACATTCTATGGCTGGTTAGTGATCATAACCTTATTAAAAGTTCAGAATTCTCGTAATCTTATATGTCCAAAATTTCTTCTCGCTTCGTAGTTAATCCCACCTTACTCGTTTCATTTTCTTTTTTTCGTTCTCCTGTTTCCCACCAAACCGGGACAGGTTACGGTGATTACTAAGAGTAAATTGGGTATGGAAAAATAAATTATATTAATTAATTTTTTAATAAATTACATTTTAGGTAGTTACAAAAATCTATTAATTAAAATTCTCTCTTTCTCTCACTTCCGTGATCTCCAGCCAGATTTTCTTTCCATATTTTTCTCAATCTTTCTACAAAAAAAAAAAAAAAACGAAATCAGTACCAATCCATTAGACAAACACTATCACTTTGAAAAACATCAATACCATTGCAGAAATAAATCTATACCATTACACGAAAACTACCATTGCAGAAATAAATCGATACCATTACACGAAAACTACCAATATAAACAATCTATACCATAAACAATCAATACCATTGTAGAAATAAATCGATACCATTACACGAAAACTACCAATATAAACAATCTATACCATAAACAATCAATACCATTGTAGAAATAAATCTATACCATTGCAGAAATAAATCTATACCATTACACGAAAACTACCATTGCAGAAATAAATCTATACCATTACACGAAAACTACCAATATAAACAATCTATACCATAAACAATCAATATCATTGCAGAAATAAATCTATACCATTACACGAAAACTACCAATATAAACAATCTATACCACTCAATTTACGAAAACTACCAATACAAGGACGACCTACCACTCAAATGTAGAAATTACGACATGGAAAACTACCAATCAATAAAAGGGAAGTGAAAACTCACGAGGATCCTTGATTGTAGATGTTGATGGAGACGTGATCGGCGCCTGGAAATGAAATGGTACAAGAACAAAAACAATAGAAGGCAACATCAGTGCGTGGAAATGAAATAGTACAAGAACAAAAACAAAATAAGCATACGCAGGGTGTCTAACAGCTCCATGTGGCAGCATCATGGGATGGGTAATGCGCGGTGAACATCACGAGCTCAGGAAGGCCGGTGAAGTCCGGCGGTGATGTTACCTTCTTGTGGGAAACGATGAACGGGACGTCAGACAGAGATCAGCGCCTTCGGCATCGGGATCGCCGTGGATAGCAGCGGGGTGATGATTTCTGAGCAGATGAGGGGAAAGGGTAGAGAGAGAGAGAGAGAAAGAGAGAGAGAGGGTACCAAGGGGGGCTGCTGCTGGCGGTGGTCGGGGCTGCTGCCGACGGTGCGACGGGAGTGGTACGTGGAGGCGGCTGCGACGGGTTTGGCTGGAGGGAGGATATAACTAGGGTTTAGGTAGATTATATAGAATAATCAGGTGTGGTCACTTTTTAATTTCCAAAATTACCCTAAAAGAATCTTGACAGTAAGATTAAAAAAGAAGAGAAAACAATTAATCAAATGGTATATAAAAAGGTTGCCACCGTGATTACTAAAAAACAAGTAATCACCCTAACCCATTCCCCACCAAACCCATGAATCAAACTTTGTTTTACATCAATTATCTCCTCTTCAATCATCTTATTACATCAAAGTTATACAAACAAATGCAGCGCAAGTTTTGCATTCACATTCCCCCACACGCAACAAGGAATCCGACCTCTTTCTTTGTGAACCTTCCAACCTTTTTTTTTATATGTCTGATTTTTACAAGCAAGAACCAAATTGTACTATATTATTGGTTTGGTAATTGAAATGGATTTCGTACACGAATCTCCATTCTCTTATATACACTCCATATATTTAATTGATAAATAAAGTATTTACGAAAAAATCACGAATTTATCAATTTGTCCTGACAATTTCTTAAATTTCTCACTAAAATCCAAACAATAACACGAATTATGATGCTCATATCTCCATAGCTAACCTGATTTTAAACTACAAAACTGAAAAACACACATCATAAAACCCAAAAGCGGACTATCTAGCTAGCTAGCTCAATTATATTGGCCGCTAAACCAGAAAATTATTAACAAAGAAATCCAAAACTAAGATCGATCTCAACAGCAACCCCAGTAATTAACAGCTACAAATTAAGTCACTAACAAAAAAAGAGCAATCAAGTGGTGTTGTCAAGGTGCCCATTCCCAATGAAAGAAGTCACCGCCGCCAGCAGTGCCGCCGTGAAGTTCGGGTCGGCCGTTATAGCCGCCGTGGCCGCACTAACAATGTCAGACGACGACGGAGGGCCTGAAGCAGTGCCATTACTATTATTGTTGCTGCTGCCATCGGGGAGCAGGCTGAACAGGTGTTGAGCGGCGGCGGCGACCGGGAAGGTGTTGCCGGTGGCGGATTGATGGCGTTGCAAGGGTGACGTGGCGGCGGAAGGGTGATCAGTTAGGTCGAGAGTGACGGTGGGGAAAGGGGCGGAGGCGGAGAGAGTGGCCATGCTGGTGGGTGGGGCGGTGGTGAGTTGGAGAGTTTTGGCGAGGAGGTTGGTGTTGGGGAGGCCGTCGGCGGAAGGCATGGAGCCGGAGAGGAGCATGGACGCGGCGGCGGAGGTTGTGGAGGCCATGGTCATGGCTGCCGGAGGGAGAGGGTGGTTGTGGTGGCCTTCGTAGGTTGTTATCAGGATTGACTGCTCCTCTGCACACCTTTGCACCTGTGTTTTTGTCCATCCACAAGTTTAAAACCTCCTGTTAGAGGGTTTCTAACTTGGAAGATTAGACATATATATGAAACAAAACATTTAGGACTTTGCTAATGGTCTGATTAGGGTTTATGATATCATTGAATCTTAAGAACATAATAAATAAGACACTATCGTCATTCTAGAAATGTAAAATCTCTTTAGGAATGAACAAATTAAACCATGTTAATCTCGTGTTGTTTACTTTTGGCTTTCCGCTCATACTACATTAGTTTTCACAATCACCTAATGTTATGTTATGGGAAAAAAATCATTTCTTCAACACCTCAAGACCTATGCACTGAGGTCTCATATTCATATATATATAGGGGTAAATTAAAGCAACCTGTTTGCGGACGGGGCAACCAGAAGCCATGGTGCAGCGATAGTAAGCTCGTGGGCAAGGGTTCCCTTTCGCCATCTTCTGCCCGTACTTCCTCCATTGACACCCATCGTTCATCTACAAACAACATACAATAACGTCAAGTGAAGTCAACAATTATATTGATCGATATTAACATATCACGCGCGTCTAGTCGACTACATCATATTTATAATTATACCATGGTGGCCTCGGAGCGGGCTCGAACCGAGACCCGAGCCTTCTTGATCATGGAAAGCGTCTCAGCTCTGCGCTCTTCTGCATCTGCTGACGATTGTGATGAATTGTCAAACTTAGGGATCTTGTTCGCGGCCCAACCACCCTGCTCAAACACTTGTTGTTGCTGAATGTTGCCATTTTCTTGACCTGTACTAGTGGCATTCCCGTTATGATCTTGACCATTATGGTTGTGATTCTCCCTTGCGGTGCTGCTTCTGGTCATGATGACGTTGTTGTTGGTCGGAGTACTGTTGCTGCCCTTTGGTGACGACGACGAAGACTTGCGGTCCATGGACTCCACTATGTTGTTTCCCGGCGGAGTGAATATGGAGCAGTCAGCGGACCTCTCTTCGTCGGACGTCGACTGCGACCTGTCGTCCGCTACGCCCAAACCGTTTTTCTTCTTCTTCTTATTGTTGTTTTTCATCTGAATGAAAAAATTAACAAAAAGTGCAAAAGAGGTGAGGGGTAAAAAAAAAACAGTAAAGTGAAACTGAAAGGTGGAGAATCAGATGTGCAACATCGTGCGTTACGTTATTATTTAGTTCAAACCTTAGAAACAACAACCCGAAAAATGAAGGAAAAAAAACACTGAACGAGGAAAGGGTTTTTCTGTTTCGATGCACACCTCGAGATCGGTGTTGGGTTTGGGATGACCATGTTTGTGGTTTTGCTGCTGCTGCATGAGGGTGAGGAGTTGCATCTGCAAGGTCTGGTAGTTGGAATTCACTTGATTCAACATGGCTTTCAGCTGCTGGTTCTCTGCTGTCACGCGCTCCATTTCGGCCTGCAATATGGCCAACTGCCCGATCCCCAACCGACATTCATTCAACCAATCAAACAAAAACAAAAAATTTGACTTTACCAAACTATATATCGTGACGGCCATCTTATAAAGAAGAAGAAGGAATAAAATAAAAAAGAAAGAAATAATTAACATACAGATCCAAGCTAAGGTGAAGATATTAATTAAGAGACAATGAATTAATGGCGACTCAAGAGCGCGCACCTTGTTTCTGTTGCGGTGATCTTCTGTGTCTCCGTCGTCTATTAATGCGCTCGATTTGTCGCTCCCCGTAGAAAGATTCAGCCCCGTCTGCAAGAACACAACAGATCAATTAGCGTACCTACCACCATCAAACACAAATACAGATAATATATATTAAGGAACGATCGATCCAGAAAGAAAGAAAGAAATTCATAACGTACGTTTACAAGGGGCGAGGCGTGGCCGTCAGTGCTGATCTGATCATCTTGCAGCATTAAGATCATGTTGTTGATGATCCCATCATCCATGGCCGCACCACTACTACTCCCAATTGGAGCTGTTGCTTCCTCTCTCTTGGAAAAGAGGAGGTCGTTGGAGAAGAAATCCACCTCATTGATCACGGTCCCTCGTTTCATACAACCTGATCCGGCAGGGGAGAACACCTGCTGCCGCACTGGATCATTATCTTCCTGATCGTCATTCTGACCATCAGGTTGTTCGTCGTTGTCCCCCTTCTCGTCTTGTTCATTCGAGAAAGGGGACAGGATCGGGAGCGACGAGCAGTACTGGCGGAGATTGTTGGGAGGATTATCATGATCTGCATCAGTACTAGCCACGGCACTGGTCGGGTCAATGATTATACGAGACATGGCTAAAAGAAAGAGGGTTTGAAACAAAGAAAAACAGGAAAAAAACTACAAAATGAGTCGTGATTAGGAAAGTTGAGAGAGTGGCATAAATCCCACAGACACAAGTATTCAACCAAGTAATTGGGAGAGTGGTAGCAAGAGGAGGTAAATGATGAGGTCGTTTGTGAGCCATAGAGAGGAAATAGGAAGGAAAGGAGGAGGAGAAAGAATTTTGAAGTCTTCTACTCTCTCTATAGCTCATTTGCTTGGACAGTCGAGGATGGACCGATCAATTTTTATTGGTTAGGTATGAAATCATATAAACCACTTTGATTTGACTGGTTTATTTGCTCATTATTTTAACAAAAAACTAGATTTGCGAATCAATAGGTCTTTGCCAATTTTCAATGTTTTCTCTACAAGTTATAAAATCATAACAAATATCGTGGGAAATTATAACCCCTCGTGTACTACTAATTATAAAATCATAACTCTATATATTGGTAATATAATGAATTTCTTTATTTTATGTGATATTTACTTCCTAATTAGCAAATTAATTAACATCTGCCAAAAACATAAAGTAAGCAAAAGAAAAGGAAGACTAAGTAAGCAAAGGAAAGATTATTGTAGGAGAGAGTGAGGTAAGGTGGTGCGTCGATGGGGGACAGGTGGCCTTTTGCCCATACAGTTTTTACTCTTTGTTTTGACAATTGTGATATCTGAGGAGAAATTTGGGGGGAGAAGAGAGCGCTATTAAAATGCCTATTTTAGTTTTTGCATATATTCAACTAAACAAACACAACCTTCTTTGCAAATGGACAAAAAGAATAATTTCTCAGATTATTGATCTGATACTCCTAACTTGGTCAATTACCAAGTTATTATTATTAGTATATATATATAACTAAATCATGTTTAGGATTGCCTAAGAGCATATTGTGTGTGCTCAGTTGCATCTAAACACTTTGAATAAGGGTTAATGCCACATTTGGTCACTGAGATTATTAAATCGTGTCATATTTAGTCACCAGAATAATTTAATATCAATTTTGGTCACTCGAATTACTAAAACCGGTCACATTTAGTCACTCTCCCGTTAGTTTCCGTCCAACTCCATTAATAGAGTTGGACGGAAACTAATGGGAGAGTGACTAAATGTGACATGTTTCAGTGATTCAAGTGACTAAATGTGACATGTTTCAATAATTCGAGTGACCGAATTTGGACAGAGGCTACAGGAGAGTGACCAAATGTGACATGTTTCAGTAATTCAAGTGACCAAAATTGATATTAAATTTTTCTAGTGACTAAACATGACACGATTTAGTAATCTCAGTGACCAAATGTGGCATTTACCCATTAGTATATATATATAACTAAATCATGTTTAGGATTGCCTAAGAGCATATTGTGTGTGCTCAGTTGCATCTAAACACTTTGAATTAGGGCTTGGGCTTAGACTTGAATATGTCATTTTAGTTGCTTTTAGACTTTGGATTGAGTTTGCAATGGACTAATGGGTCATTCTATTATGGTCTTTTTGGCTTTTTCCCACAAATTCTCTAGAGTCCACGTTAGATCTACTAATTATTTTCATCCCACACAATGAAAATATAAGTCTTGCATTTTTCCTCAACAAGACAACAACACATTTGTAGATGATCAAAATCGGATCAAATAACATAGTATAAAAAATCGGATAAAATAATATAGTATAAAATAATTGAAGGATTCAAGTGCAACCACACTTGACAATTTCTCTACAACTCTGAGTATGCGATGCATGTAATATCTAGCTACTCCTTACAAAAATTTAAAGACATACCTACTTAGCCTGCCATGAAGGAGAGCTACAAGTAATTTTGGGGTTGTGGGAAGCTACAATCCCTTCTAAATTCAACATAACTCTGCCAATGGGTTCAACACTAATGGCCAAACCATCATTTACTGCTTTTCCCCCTCATATGACTTGCATTCTTATTTGTACGACCTTAACTTTTTTTTAATGAAAAATGTAACACTATTGACCATAAAATTCATGCAAAAGGAAAAAGAGAAAATCATAAACAAATATCAATTACACATTTCTGTATTTTTTTTATGTAATTACAAAGACGGTTTCCCCAAGCAGCATGGCGCTGGTCATTGTCTAGTATTATATACTAGCTTTGACCCGGTCCATTGCTCGGATTACTTTAATTTACTAATTATGAAATGGGGGAGAGAGCTAGAGCAGAAAAATATTTATCTGGGTCAAACCCAAAATTTGAATCTATTTGAGTCCATATAATTATACCTATAAGGAAATATCGACCATCTAGCTATTCACATTAAACCAATTCACACTTTCATTATCTATTTGTTTCCGTTGAATTCACCTTCATTATCGGTGTTTGCACATTTATGTTTGTTATACAAAAAAAATTGCAAAAATTAAATTAGAGTTGATATTCATTTTTTTGGTAGCCAATGTAATAGGTCTAATTGAACAGATACTCTTCATTTCCATACAATATTTTCCAAGGTCATAAGTCATAGTTGGATCAATAGTTCCACCGGCATCGTTGGAGCTTTTCTGTTGCTTCGGCGATTCTCTCTGCTTTTGCTTGTCTGTTGTGGTGGCCGAAAGGAGGTGATTTGATTTCGTTAGTTTATCCATTCTTCACCGGGAGATGTCTTCGCGCTCTGGTAAGAGCTCTCCGCCAACGAACGCGACTTCCTCGTCAAGGACATCGAGATGTATACCCTACTTGTTCTCAGCGGCTGTGAGACGGTTTGAAAACCCGTCGCCGGCACGGTCAAGCCATGTCGGTAAACCGTGTAAAAATTGGGACCTTGGATTCCAATTTCTTCCGACCACGTCACCGTCGTCGAAAAGAGCCTTCTTTCCATTGTCAAGTAAGGGGTTTGGTTTGGCCACAATATTCAATTTTGATTCAAAAAATGGTAGAATCGCCAGAACTCCGTAAGGTGATTTTTGTGTTATTTAGTATAGCCTGGTTTTCTACTTTTAGGATTGATTAGATGGTTTTGGGATCATTATGATCATACTGAAAGAATAAGCGTTTCATTTGACATCCCTATTCTTTTCGAATTTGGCCAAGACGCTAGTCGTCAATATAACTCTCTCTTGTAGAGCCTTTTTGTTTTGGGTGTATCAACCCAAATTCATTTCTTTGTGGAGAAGCCTTTCCTGGAGATTATGCTCTGGATTCTTGTGTTGCTGGTCGGATTGAGCTTCTTGGGGTGTAGAGAAGATTTGAGAGCAATTTAGGGAATTAGGGTTCAAGAAGAACACCCGATTTCAGAGAGGAGATCGAGAGTCAAAGGAAGGGAAGATGAATCTTGATTTTGTACTCTGATAAAGTGGGCTGAAAAGAACGGGCCCGTGTAAAATACTATAAGGGAATCAACTTTGATTGAGTTTAAGAAAATGGGCTTCAAGCCCAGCTTTTCTTCTTCTCAAACACGAGTCACCAGACTCTGCTGCACTTCAACCGAAACAGAGCAAGGAACAGAGTTCCTCAAGGTGAACACTTGAAATTGCAGAAGGTAAAGAGCAGAGAAGCTTAATGAACACAGGACATTTTTAACGTGGTTCACCCTTGTGCAATGGTCTACTTCCACGTCCCAGAATATGGTCTGGGAGGACTTTTATTAACTATGAAATTTGTGAACATAAATAACCACAAAGCAAGAATCAAAATAAGAAAGAGAAGAAGGAAATGAAAAACCAGATCAGCCTCCGATCTGTTTCTGCCTTGGCAAAAGTTGAACCTGTGCCTCAACCTTTTGCCAACCCCTTTTGAAATCCCAGAGCTCAGCCCTTTACCACAGTAGCTCTTACAAAAGTGTGTCGAACAGCAGCAGTTACCCTGCATATATAGTCTCTCCAATAGACTAGCCGTTGGAGTCAGAGAAGGTAAGTTCCTAATGACAGGCTGCTGTTTCCTTTTGAGGTTCCTGTGATTGAGCTGCAAGAAAGCAACAATAAAAGTAGACAATCTCCAACTTGATTTGTCCTGCTTAGTTCAACAATCTTCCCCTAAGTTGGAGGATTGTCGATTGCCTTATTCCTGCATACATAGCAAGCAGCTTTCCACAAAGTACTGAAACAACAGCTGAGAAATGATCCAAACAAGGATATTTTATTGACTGAAAGAAGTTCGACATAACTCAACAATTATTCAAACCAACACATAAGACCAATCATTCAAACCAACACATAGGACCTCAAAAGAAACACCATCTCAGACCGAGAACAAAAAACAAGAACACAAGACTTCCCTGAACAGATAGCCAAACAAGAATTTTAAGAGGATCAAGGATCAGAACTATCACTGGACGATGTTACATCAGGCTGAAAGGCGACAGGAGAGTCTGATTCAGAATCAGAGCCATAGAGAGCTTGCAGAGCAGATGCAAAAGACGGTAGAGAGCCAAGAGTCTTATTTCCTGAATCAGCATCAACCTCATCGTCCTCTGAGTCACTGCCGAGCCTATGTATGAAGGGTCTCTCCCCCTCAATCGCAATCCCAATTTCGTCTAGAACATCATTCGCATGTAGCCAAAGGGAGGAGATTCAGTGCGATAAGCTAAGAGATCCAGAGGCAGGGCGAGCAGCAGACGAGTAATCAAAGCCCCAAAAGGAAGAGGTGCATGGAAGTTATGATCAATGAAAGGAAGTATGGCACCAAACAGTAGATGAGAGAAGTCCAAAGGTACAGCAGCCACAGCATGAGCTAGAATCCACAGGTCAAGGGGAATAACACGATCAAGAAATATGGGACGAGGTAGGAACACTCTGGTCAGAATGAAGTGAAAAGTTTGCATAGCAGGGCTTAACAGACCAGAGGAGAAAGTACCATCTTGGTCTGGTTCATGACCAGTAAGATGAGCAGCCTCAGTAGTAATATCAAAGTTGAATAAAGGAAGTTCATCAGGATGAGCTAGGGCTTCCCCAAAAGCAGGAATATTGAGGAGACGACTGATGGAAGATAGTGGTAGGGTCATCATATGACCATGAACAAGAGAGCTGATGGTCCAAGTTTGGAGACCAAAGTACTTCAGATTTGAGAAGAAGACCCTAACAGCCTCAGGACAGATGAGAGAGGAGGTGAAATCTGGCATCAGGAGAAATTCCCAGCCCAGATTATAGACAAAAGGCATCACATCTAAACCTAGAGGCACAAACTCAGGGAGGTGAACAATGTCGAGGGATCTATGGGGCGATTTGCAAAGGACTGAGTGTGTCGTTGATAATTTGCAACAACAGGCTCATGGAAATGTGCCCCAGTGTAGGTCAAGGCAAAAGCATAAACCATGACTGACACAGAAGGAGGATACCACTCACAGGATACACAAAGACAAACTACAGAGACTGAACAATATAAAGACTCGAACCAAACCATAAAAAGGAAAAAACACTCAATCAACCAAAACAAGAGAAGGAAAGTAAAGATACCAAG